AGGCCCTAAGGAGGTATCTTCTTGTTTTTCCGTTAGTTTTGCTGCTATGGGGCTTTCCGTAAATTGAATGCTGCTCCATGAGAAAATGTCATAAACAGCTCGGAGACGTCCCATTTTCTTCAGAAATGTTTGCTCTACACGACAGACTTATTTGCAAAGAATTTCTGGCTTGAACTCTAGGACTTGGTTTTCTGAGATTTGAGTTTTCCAGAGACCCTGATTTTAGGAGTTTTGATGGAGCCTTTGTATGCACCACCTGAGATCGGAAATTCTTCCAGCTATTCAAATCTTTTTTCAAATTTATTCTAGCTATTATGATCATGCAATAATTGCAACTAGACGTATTTATACGTCACCGGGAGCCAAAGGGTTAATTTGATAAAAAACTAAGACCTAATTCAAAAATCGGCGCCGGTCAGACGATGTAGTTTCTTCTTCTCTTTGAAACAAAAAAAGAATAAATTCTCTATGACAAACCGCTATAAAAAATCTTGGGAAATACTTCAGGTGTAACTCCTATATAGAGAAAACGCTGTATTAAATGCTGTATGAAATACTCAGTTTTAGATTTTCTAGGAAAATGCCTCTAACTTTTTGGTGCAGAGTCATACAGAGTTGTGCGAGGTCTTATTCTGATCAGAAACGTTTGCTCTACAGATCTGTGTGTGTAGAAAAATTTTAATTGCATTAGTATCCAGGAAAAAGCTATTATTTGATGATTCAGTTTTTTGAGGCTCCTAGAAAACTTGCTCAAAACCCGGGAAAAATCACTTTTGTCACTAAAAGCGATACAGATTCTGAAAGGAGACTGCAGACTATCTTCCCATGTGCTTATCTCAAAACCGATATTTTGACCGAAAATGACCATTTCTAAGGGAGGGGGGGGGCCCTTAATGTCTTGACTATCTGAGCACCGTGATCCGAGGCCCCAGGATTGAGGAATTCGGTCATCATTTTTTTGGATCCGAGCTAGTACAAAAATTTTTTTCGCTTGAGCAACTGTTCATTTTTATCGTCAAATTTTCGATTATTACACAGGTCTCACCCCGGTTGCTCCCGCTCGACCCAGCTCTGTATCTAAGATATCGCGCTTTAATTATTTCAAAGCACTTGAACAGTCTTTTCAACAGCGGAAATTTTTCGAAGGTTTTTTCAGCTCTGATCAGAAGACTTGACTGTGCCTTTGCTCGTCATAACACAGATTTCAATAGTTATAAATTATTGTACTAAACGCTGATTTCGGATGTTTTAAAAGATGATAGAAAAGTTAAAGCTTACTTTGAACGAGGACAACAATACAAGTCTGGAAATCATAATGCGACACAATGCCTACTCTTTTGTTTAGGCGAGCTATCAAGACGCAACCAATAACCAGGCGGCTCATATTAATGATGTAAGTGTTAGTTTTCAAGTCTATTCGTATTCCACTATCTTTCTCTTTAGGTGTCAGGAAAAGATGTACAAACGCGTTCACCAAACAATTCTGAGACAACTGTAAACGAATTAGTAAGACATAAGCTAAAAAGAAAAAGCGGTTACTCGAAAATATTGATCTTTATATTTATTTAGAATGAATATCTGTCTCAACCGGATGAAATTGTACTGAGTGATATTTTTCTAAAATGTTCTACAAAAGATATGGACAACAAAATATCAATGCAATCATATAACACAAACTGCGTCAGTACTCTTGTGTCACAGTAACATGAAAAAAATTGTATTCTCTCGTTAATTAGTTTGAGAATATGATGCAGCCTTACGTATTTCCTGTGCAATATAGAGAATGGGAAAATGATATTTTGTACGATTCACCATCATCCTGTTTAAATTTAAGAAACATTCAATCATTAGAAGCTGGCTGGATTCCCACCAGAAATCATCGTTCATTAGCTACATTTCAACGTATGATAGTTGGTAAGACGAAAATTAAATGCAAAACATTAGTAAGCAGTAAAACATGTTATTTTTAAAGGGCGTAATGTTGATTTTCTGGAAAATATTTGTTTTGGTACGTACTATAGGCGATTTGTCACATGTTTTATTGTATATAGATGAAACATTTTTCAGATGAACATGCACGGCCAGAAAATTGGTATTCAATATTTCCGTTCAACAGTACCGTATTACTTGAGAATTTACAGTCAGAACAAAATATGCTATTTGATCTGAATGTAATTTTAATTATGAGCTAAACTTTTATTACCGAAATCGATATGTTGATTTAATTTTTGATTTTTATAGTATAAACCAAAATTTTTGTTGGATGAAATAAGTACCTGTGACTTACTACCAAATGAAACAATTTCGAATCAGCCTCGAAAAGAAAAATCGATCAATTCCAACCAATTAAAAACAAAGAAGGTAACGATATTTAGATATAGCATATATCTCATGTACCATCGTTCAAATGAATCTATTATGCTAGCCAATATTTCTCTTTGAAAACTAGAACTGAGATTAACACTTTTTTTTTTTGATGATGGTAGATTAAGAGAGCGTATATAAAATCTTAATAGTATTATTTTTCACTTTCATTTACAGGAGGGACGTGTAAATACAACAAAATCTGTATTAGCTAGTGCCGGATTAGTGTTATCCGATGATAACGAAGATAAATGTGAAGAAAATAACAAAGAAACAAATACGAACATCTGGAATTTAAGTAATGATCAATTCTATGAACAGAATAGTGTTAATAATGAGCAGTTTTTGAAGAGACGTATGAGTTTGTTACAGGTAGTTTGATGCAGAAAAGTTTTTGTTATCTATATTGCAACAGTTCTGCTATTTATTTTATTCAATAGCATAGTCTACCAGCAACAAATCTGGATGAAATACTATTTCCTACTCATATGACTGCACATGAATTGCGATATTTTCATCGATCACTATTACCATTTAAAGGAACATATCAGACGTGGACATGTGTTCAATCGTTAGCACAACAAATTGCAGACACAGATAATGTATTTATAGAGATAGCGGAAAATCTTTCAAAAATACGAAATAATGATGAATCGTTTTACAATTTTAGGAACGTAAAAAAGAACTATTATTAACCGGATGTGGTTTAACATTCTCAATGCGTTCCATTTGGGATTTAACCGGAATTGATGGTGAAATTATTTTAATGGAATATAGTGAACAATATCCACCATTTTTGAATCAAACGGGAATGGCCACAAAAATTAGAACGTACGTTCGACCGGTATGTAATTGAATCTTTTATAATCAATACTCTTAATTATAGATTGTCTTTCCTGTAGGAACATTTCAAAGCCAAAGCATCGATTGAAGTTGACTATGGAGAAATAGTCTTTACGCACACAAGCCCATTTTTATGGTCACTTCCCCGAAATTTAGGAATACAAGCAAGAAAAAGAGATTTTTTCTTTCATTAATTTCTTATTATCAAAATTGCTCTTCTTCGTTTTCTTAGGCTATTGAGAACAATATGTTTCGTGCTCCAATTTATAATCACAATTTAGAAAAAACAGATTTTTTAATTATACAAAATGGTGATAGCTATTTTATTCGTAATGTTTCAACAATATTCACCATTGGTCAAGAATGTCCATTAATTGAAATACCAGTACCAAATTCGAAACGTGTTGGTACATTGCAACGAGAATTACTCCAGGTAACCATAGATTAAAATAAATGATGTATAATAGTATTGTTAGTATAGATGATGAATTCAATATATTAGGTCTACATTTATAAATCTTTTGCGAAAAGTAACGAAGAACCACGTCGTATTCGCATTGAAGACGTAAAGAAAGCATTTCCTCGTCTAGCTGAAAGTAGTATAAGAAAACGTCTTAAATTATGTTCGGATTTTCGACGAGCTGGTAGGCAATGCTAATCAATGCTATTTTGTTATTAAGATTAAATATTAGAATTGTTTTATAGGTGAAGATTCAAATAGTTGGATCATTCGTCGTGATTTTCGTTTACCATCGGAAGATGAAGTAAGAAGTTTAAGAAATTTGACGATAAACAGAATAAGATGATATAATATGTAATTATTTCAGATTCGAGAAATGGTTACTCCTGAAAAATGTTGTTTAATTTATCTTTGTTCAGCAGCTGAACAACGATTAAAAGATGCTGGTTTTCGTGATAAGTGTTTAATTGCCATGGAAGATGATGATAATAATCAAGCGAAACTTGATGATGAAGTAAATGTTTTAATCTTATACGAGTTCGAATCTTTTTTTCGAATGTATTTTTTTCATTAAGATAATCTGTGCTCCATGGAACACGTCTAAAGCCTATATCGATGCTGTTAGAGGAAAATGTTTTTTACAAATCTATGGTGTTGGAGGTGAACACTTGATTGTTTAATTCTTGATTTACAATTTCTTCCATTATAGATCCAACTGGCTGTAATGAGGGTTTTTCATACGTTCGGGTACCTTCCAAAAGCATTCACAAAACAAAAGTTTGCACTTGTATAGTTATTAAAAGTAAACTATATAAATAAGTTTTCTTCATTAGGGCAGTGCTGATACAAAACGTTTACGAGGCGCTGTCACTGGAACAGATGCTGATCTTCGAAGATTACAATTGAAAGATGCTCGAAAATTACTTTTGAAATTTGGTATAGCTGAAAATATAATACAATCATTGACCCGATGGGAAATTGTTGACTTAGTTAGAACACTTTCCACACAAAAGGCTAAAGAAGGTATTGGTGGAGGTAAGATATCCAACAAAAGTTATTCAAACATGAAAAAACCTAATCCCAAAGTATTTTCTTTCCATAGGAATAGTTAAGTTTGCTCGAGGTGCTCGCCATATTCATCTTCAACATTTAGAAAAGTATCGAGAAGATTGTCAACGACAATTTGAACTACAAAATCGGTTTGTTTGTTTGGGAACTCTTTTAATTGTATCGTAACATTTTTACTCTTCTACATAGAACATTATCTTGTCAAAATTTACAACAAACAGATGATGATACATCAGAAGAGGATGCTGAAATGAAAGAAATGGGAGAAACATTGAAAAATCTTTTATGCTCGCCAAAAGAACAAACACGATTTAATCATGAACGGAGAGAATTACATCACCTTAAATTCAAAGACATTTTAAAGAATTTTGCGAACTTGAAAGGGAATAAACAGAAAGAAGAAGAAGAAGAACAGACGTCGAAAAATCTTAATCAGATCAATAAGGTTAGAAAAAAACCTGCATTGGAGTACATAATCAAACATATTCAGAATAAATAGATAGAACCACCTCAAATAGAACAAAAAACTTTACTATAAACTTCTGCAGGAAATCCTAGCTAATAGAAATTTTTCAAATAAGTCCGCTAGGGAAAAACGGCTGAAAATCTGTAACAGGAATAATGAGGTAACACTCATCACAGTTCTGCTTCTTGCCGCTAAGAATATATAAAATATCCTTTAAGAAACGGAAACTATTGAAAATTACTCGAAGCTATCGAAATGAAAATGGACAAGATTTTCAGACAATTGAATTAGTCCGAAAAGATTCAATAATTCAAGCTTACATAAAAATTCGTAATACGAAAGATGATTGTTACATGTAAGTGTTTTCATTGCCTATAGATAAAGAATTTTATGACCAGAGCAAAACTTTTAGACGACAATATTATGCATTGGATGAAGTTGAAAGAGAATCACTTCGGCGTGAACGTCGTCGTTTACAAGAACAATTACGACGAGTGAAACGTAATGAAGCTCGTTATCGTCATAGCGAATCGTTTGATACTACTCTTCCACCCAACTCACCATCTCTCTCATTACGCTCAATGAATTCATTAAAGAAAAAATATAGTACGGAATCGTGTTCACAATTGAGTATAAACGATGATTCATTATCATTGACATCTTCAATTGAAAGCAGTAACGATATTAACAGTAATAATTGTTCGATTGCAGTTACAGAGGTTAAATTTTCTTGTCTAATCAAGCGTACAAAGTTAAACTGTTTTTTTTGTGTAATATTTTAGTCAAAAAGTATAGTGTCTGTGTATGGAAAATGTTTGAATAATGAAACATTTCCAGTGATTGATGGTGTAAAACTTATAATACCCAAACGACTTTTAAAAAAGTAAAATTGTTTGTTATAATTTCTCTAAAAGAATGTGTTGGTTTGATCCGTTTATATTTAGAGCTGAAGAAGTAAAACGCAAATCGTTAATATTACATATACCAAAAAATATTCTACGTTATCCGTGTACAGATAACTATGAAAGTACAAATGACACTGATAATATAGGTTAGGTTTGTAGAATACTTCTATTACATGTAAACGTTCGACTTTAATAGTTCTGCTACTAATCGAACACGTCTTTTCGACAAGGCGATTTTATTGTTCAATTTTCAGTTGACAATTGAGACTTCCACTACACTAATGACATGCAAAAACCAAGTTTGCATTGATCACACTTTTACCCTCATCCGTTTGGCATAATATGACTACCAATGATTGTTCACCATCTTACTTTTCTCTGGGTATATGTTGATGAAATGAATTTTTACTCTCATAAGGAAAACCTAGTTGTCCGAAGCTGTTCTTGTTTGTTCTGATTCACATTTCTTTTGTGTCCAATAGACCACACATGACTCGTTTACACTTCTCAGTAGGACTACTTATAATTTTTGATATACAACATGACTTTCTTTCCAAGGACGGGGTGCAATAAGAACGAGGATCGGCCCCATTTCAGATCTTCTCGAAAGGTATCTAGAATGAAAGAGCATACAATTTTATGGGGTTCTACACCCTTGGTTCCGCTTCGAACCTCATATCTGTCAGAAAACTGATCAACTTTGAACAATAACTCCGCGAGCCCATTCCGAGGTGTTTTTCGTAATTTTCTCAGAACACAACAAGTTTGAAGAAGGGAACTCCTATATACTATTCGATGTAGCTTTAAACGGCGAACAAAACTGTCTATTTCTCAATTGTTATGTACACCGCCAACACCCACGTTTTTACCATATTAGTGTTAAAAGGCAGTCTTTTCAGCATAGCCAACGATAATATTTCTATTGCTTTTACCATGAAAGAACCTAGGTTGTGGTTTATATTATATATCGAAAAAAAGCTCTTTCAAAACTCTACAAAATGGTGGGTAACTCAGTTCTAGTTGGAAATGCGAGTACTCACTTTTTTGGGATATTGCTACTAAAGAGTGATGTTTTCGGCATCGGCAGATAGGGTCGATCGATATAAAACCTACCACCATTTACATAGATCTTTGATGTCAGTGACGAGACCTGTCTCATATTATAGAACTCAGCAAGCTGAACCGAATGGTGAAACTCGCAAGTCTCTAGCCTTGTTAAAAAAAAATTATAGCCATTTTACCCTCGCAGCGAAAACTTGCATTTTCTGGCGGATTTGGCCTAAATTGTAGAACGCCTGCTGACCACATTTCCTAACGTAGAACCCTGAAGTTGGTCTCAAATGAAAGAGCGCGTCGAGTTCTATATCTTTCGATGAAGAAATGTTATGCTAGGCCTCGGGGTCTTGAGACAGATGTCTGAAAAACTCGGTTTTCTAGAATACCTAGTGACCTGAAAATTTCTTTCCGAAGTTTTCCAATCATATCATTGGATAGCTCCTTCAATTCTCCACAAAATGAGATGTTGGGAACGTTTCCACGATCTCGGACGACCGAGTTACAGGCTGTTTAACATTACGAATATAAACCCATTCGCTTTAATGCCGAAGTTTCGACCTGTATCGTATTTTCTATAGCATTCGGCACAACATCCTAGAAATGTGGCCAGCATCTTGTTCGCCGTTTAAAGCTACATCGAATAGTATATAGGAGTTCCCTTCTTCAAACTTGTTGTGTTCTGAGAAAATTACGAAAAACACCTCGGAATGGGCTCGCGGAGTTATTGTTCAAAGTTGATCAGTTTTCTGACAGATATGAGGTTCGAAGCGGAACCAAGGGTGTAGAACCCCATAAAATTGTATGCTGTTTCATTCTAGATACCTTTCGAGAAGATCTGAAATGGGGCCGATCCTTGTTCTTATTGTACCCCGTCCTTTAGCATCATATATTACTATTGTAGTAGTCCAAAGTAGTAGTCCAATTACAATCAGAAATTAAAAAATTTTCCTGTCTTTTTTATTTAGACCAATTAAGAACCCGTGTTCCTTCGAATTTTAATCCAATTTGTAGTTTGCTATAAAGCGTCAAATATTATGGGCAGAATAAGTGGATTGATAGTTAATCAACTATGGTGCATCCAATGGGTATATTCTTGAGATCTTCAGAGGGCCTTCATGAGCCACCGAAGGATCTCCAGGAGATCTCCAGAAAACCGTTCAGGGTTTATTGAAATATGAAGTTCTAACAAAATATTCAATTTCCTATCAATGCTCGCTTTCGAGTATCAAATATCAATGTTGCCAAAAAGGTTCTTTTAGAGATTCAGGAGTTTTGAACATAGAGATTTGCCACTGGATCCGCCATGGTTGATTTTCTATGAAAATCCATTGTACCACATTTATTCCAATATTTTCATCCCACTATTTCTGAAAAAGCTCTCTGTAGATTGCAGAAAAATTCTCTGACGATGTCGAGCATGGGTTCATTAGATGCCCGATTGTCGATTACCTATGAACTCACCTTGTTTGTGAACAATATTCCAAGTTTAGAACCAGTAAAAAAATTAGTAAATTTGATTTAATGAATCTGATGAATTTATTTTATTTTATTATTTCTCTACTAAGAGAAAAAAATTTTGTTCTTCGCAATCGTAACTTTATTCAGGCACACTCATATATTATAAGAAATATTTTACTTTAATAATTTAATAAGCAAAAGATTTTTTATAAGACTTTTAAATTTTTTAAAAAAATTTAATAAAAATTTTAAAAATTAACTTTTTTAGAATTATATATTATAATATAAGTAAGCACGCTACTATAGTTATTTGTACCAAACTGCAGAATAATTCGCTTTTGTTTTATGTAAAATTTTTATATTAGTCCCACTGAAAAGTATCAACTAGTCATGTTTTCTCATATTTGGGGAAAAAGAAACGAAAAGAAAATTAGAGTTTCATCCGGGACAAGTTCGGATAGAGGAGTCGACTGACTGCAGCCAGCTGTAGGTGGTATGACTTATTGCTTTTCACTCAGGTGGTTGGCATGGTAAACTCTTCTTCTCGTTCATCTACTAATTAGCATATGCATCACCTACAGTTGGCTGCAACCAACTGACTTCTCTATCTTGGCTTGTCCCGGGTAGAACTCTAGTTTTCTTTTTTTTCTCCCACATATGGGATAACGCGCACATGAGACCAGCTAATCAGATATGTATTTTTTCCATATTTCAAAACGATCATAGTAGAGGAAACAAATACAGAGACATGTGTGGTCTATTGGGCACAAAAGAAATGTGAATCAGAACAAATAAGAACAGCTTCGGACAACTAGGTTTTCCTTATGAGAGTAAAAATTTATTTAATCAATATATATATGAGTTGAAGGCTTCAATATTTTTGTGCTATTAGCAGACCACTAGCACAATAACGAAAACATTTTAACCCTCTTAATTCTTTGTTTTGATCGACATGCCAAAATTCTAGTGTAACCGTATCTCCTTCCTTAAGTGAATAAGAAATATTCATAAAAAATTATTTGAATGAGCAGTTGGAAATAAAGTTTTAAATATAAAGTATAATACTCAACGGGGAAACAGCGGTATTAATATCGAAAAAAATACGGCACACATACTACTCACATACCCAAATACCAATTGAGTTTGTGTTTAAAAGGTATACATAGCTGAGATGTGCATTTTGTTCAGTCTTTTATGCTCTTTCCACTGAAGTACAGAAGAAAACATCCTGTTTGTAAGAGTATCTTCTATCCGCATTTTCTTGGAGTCCCATGACTGGTATCAGGTGACTTTAGGTAGGCTTGGCGTTGCATAGAACATACGTAATCAGCCACGCTGAATCTGATGGCAATGTTTAGTTTTAGAGTAGAGCACAAGAACAAGGAGAAAACCGAGTTTTATGAAAATTAGGGTTACCACGCTGTTTTCACCTACCCAGGTCAAAAAATCAGATCAGGATCTTACACGATCTTATAAAGTTTTATAAAAATCATACAATAATCTTACGAAATCTGACGAAATCTTACTATAAGATTTTACATCAAGAATCAGTTTCTAGGTTTCTTACAGAATCTTACAAATTCTTATACGAATCTTACGAAATCCGACGGAATCGTACAAAAATCTTATAAAATCTTACAGTAAGATTCTTTGACCTGGGTAATATTAAAAAATTCACAGCTCAGTCAGAAACATCAGAACGAGTTGGAAACTTCAGAACGTATGAAAGTCAAGCTATTCTATACCCTATTTATACAAAAATCTAGAAAAAAAGATTCTAAAACCATATGGTTTTTCAAAAGGTTTTTCAGAAAACTTTCGCACAGAAACATTGTTTTCAATTTCTTCTGATCATACAATTACGTTAAACAGATAAAACTAATATTATCTCGAAGTTTCCAACCCGTCCTGATGTTTCCGAGCGAGCTGTAAATTTCTTAATATTAGATGATCTATCCACTACTTGTTTATTATATTGCTTTAGATATTTTAGTCCAGAAGTTTCCAGTACCGAAAACTATTACAAGAAGTTTATTTGGGCGATTTTTATCTATTTTTCCAGAAAAACAAAGCGAAGGAAATTCATCGATAGATTCGAACAAACAGTCATGTTGGAAGAGTACCAAAATTCTGGTTACATACCGAAATCGCTGTTTCCCGCTTGATAATATTGTTATGAAAAACATTTTAATAAAATTTTTCTGAATTTATTTAAACGCTCGAATTTTCGATCAGAATTAGATCATTTTCAAGAGTGAATGATAAAAAGAAAAGAAGTAGTATGTATATAAAAATCCATGCAGAACGAAATTTGGAAAAATTCAAAATACTTAAAAAGAACGAAAGAAGAAGAAAGGAAAATCCATAATAACACATTAGAATGTGCATTCTAAGTTCTGATCGAAAGCTCGGATGTTTAAATAAATTCAGAAGAGTTTTATTAAAATGTTTGTCATAACAATATTATACTTTATATTTAAAATATTCATAACTTTAGAAAGAAGCATCAAGAGCAGAAATCCTTTTAGGTTGTTTACTTGCACACTACCCTCTATGGAAAGGTTTTACGACTGGATTCAGCGCGTTTTTCTTTACAAAACAACATTAATTAGAAATCTTCATTCTGATGCAATATATTAATAAAATTTCTTTAAACGACTTCAATTTTATGCTCCGCCTATTCTCCTCCGCTAGAGCCTGGGCTTTCTAACAATGATATAAGAGTTGAGCTGGAGTACAACCTTAAGCAACGGCATTCTTTTTTCAGAATCACAGAAATTGTTTAACTGCTTTAAGCACAAGGCGCTCAAAATAAAATGTAAAAATATATCTGAGAACGAAGCCTTCTCTTTAACTTTATGTGCCTGCTGCTTCGAGCTGTGAGCCAAGTGGAGGCAACAGAATGACAGTGACGAGAAATGCGCAAAACAGCGTCAACTCGTTCTCAATGAATGACCGGAGCGGTCTTATGAATGAATCTTCGTATGTGTGAAACGTTGAAACCACACTCTAAAAAAAAGTTGTAGATTAATAAACTACAATAAAAGAGTTTTTTAACGGGTTTTTTAGGCCAAAAAACTAAAAATCTTCGTCGTCATAAAACCAACAGAGTTTTTTGGTCATCTTGAAAAACCGAGGAAAAAACTAACAAAGTTTTTTAAAGAGTTTTTTAAAGTCAAAAAACTCTTCCAAAAACCGTGAGTTTTTCATTTTGAAACGACCACGAACGATTTTTGGTTTTTTGGCCTAAAAAACCTGTTAAAAAACTCTTTTGGGTTTTTTGATCAGTTTTTTAGTCCAAAAAACTCGTTTATTGTAGTTAACCAAATATATGTAGTTGTATGTATTTTAGAATTATGAAATTGTGAAAGATGATCAAGATTTTGAATCACTGATTTATTAATCAAGTATAATCTCGTAATGAAAGAATGAATGCTGATATATTGAAAAGTCACTTGCTATGTCATTCTTATGTTTCGTTTCTAGAAAGCAACGATCATTATTAATCAATATCGTTTAACATTAATGATAGGGTTGATAATTAAATGAAATTAAATTTATACATTGTTCACTTATCAGTTTTTGATTGACCATTTTACATTGACAATTTTGAAATAAATTTATCGGATAGATGAAATTCTTTTTATTTCCTTTTTTGGTTTGAAGATCAACTTCCTTTTTACTGATATCATCACTCGCTTGCATAACTAGAACTATTAACATTTGTGAACGTATAATATCCATTGTTTAACATTGTTATCGAACAACAAATTTAATTTGACTAACGGTGTTCAACAGTGTATTAGTCATTTTTTTTCTTCTTCTTTCGTTTTTTCTATCATTTGTGGGAGACTTGTTCGTTTCTTTTTGTTTCTAAATACAAAGGAACAAAATTATACTTCTAAAAACGCGAATATTTAACTATTTTCGATAATGTGTTTCGGTACTTGATAATGTGTTTTATAAAATGTTTAGAGACAAAATTGTTAAGAAAAAAAGCCCTCGACTTTTAATAAAAAAAAGAATTTTGAAATAGCACTTACAACATCCTCTGGCATTTTTTTTTCTTCATTATTTGTTATAATACAATCATCATTGTTGTATGTTGAATTTGACCCTTGGTTTTACAGACTTTTCAACATACATACAATTATTAATGCTTGGTTACTGATTACATATGAAAGTTTATTATACGCGTAACTACAAAGGAATTTTACTTTTTAGTAAATAATAAATAAGTTAAAGAGAAACAAATGAAAGAATTCAAGAAAATTCACTCAACAGATACGTTTAATGCGTTAGCAAAGTAAATGTTTCGTTCCACAATAAAGAAGAAATACCCTGATGCATCATATGATAGACTAAATGCCGATGATCCTGCGGACAGATTGGAAAGCCGACCGAATAAAATATTTAAATTATTTAGATTAAACCATTCAAAACATTTTTAACCATTAAATCCTTTAGACCTGCGCAGAATCCGTCAGAATTTTTTTTTCCTATATCCAGACTCTCTTTCTGTACATATCAACTGTTAAGTATTATGTGACCATTAATTATCTTATAAAGCAAACGGTTAAGTTCTATAAAATATATACTCATTTTTGTAGGACTAATCACATGATGATTATAAATCCAAAAAGTTGACTTCAAATGTGATGTCATCTATAGCTGCTCTACTTCTGAATCGTTTTTTGCCCAAATCTGTACGATCCAGGCTGATAGCTGAGAACGAGTGACTGACTAAAAGCAAAAAGTATGTCAAAAAGAAAGAAAGAAGAATTTTTTGTAGTGAAAAAGAATAAGCCGCCTCGAGTCTCACTCGGGCGGCTTAACAAGATTATCGTACACTATAGAATTAACTAATCTATGAGATATTCGCGTGAATATCAGCATTTATATCATTTTCTATCATCTTTTGTTGAAGTACGCTTTAGAAGCTCTCTCTCTTTGTGATAACAAACAAATGTATTAGAGAGAAAATATTAGAAATTTGTATTTGTTTTTTCAATATATATTATACATAGGATGTAGTTATCATAACGCTCATATTTTCATGTAAGCAATTGGCTTCTTCTTCACTTTTTATTCTAGCGTATCCAAAATTATTATTTATATGAGACATGTGCATCTTTTGTTATATACCATAAAATACTTTCATTAAAAAATTACAAGCATTTAATAACATTTTTCTTTTTTCTTTTTATATGTATAGGTGCAGAACCACTCTCTCAAAATAATTAAATGTTTGTTACATGTCAAATACACTCAAATCATTCTCCTGCAGCTATAGCAAACCGTGAAAATAGAACTATCAGTCTGCGTGAATCGATCACCATTTTCCATGATAAATGGCATGCAACCAAAAACAAAAAGATGGATACATAAAAACAGGTTTCTATTATCTCTACAACTTTTGATAAGTTTTTGTTCTTCTTAAAAATATCCATCATAAATGAACAATTTATACAGTAAAATAATATTGAATAAAAGAAAATAAGAATAGGATTTGGTATTAAAGCAATCATGTCACCACAAGAAGATTTTTCTACAATTTTGACGTTACTACTTGGCTTAGTATTTCACAATATTGAAAAAATAATATTTTTTTTTTGAGTGTAAAATTTTGTATATTAAACTTTAAATCTAGTAGACTTTTTATCTTAGATTTTGATTTTAAATTTGATTATTTATAATAATTAGAAATAGGTCGAATCCTCTATCTCTCTTTACCGTCTAATCATTTCAATCACTCGGTGTAACAGCCAATGTTTAAATCAAAATCAATCAGGCTTAACGTATTGGTTCATATTCTTCTTTTTTTTTTTTGCTTTTGAGTACGACACTCATTGGTTTGTACACGAGAAAAAAAAAGAGAATAAAAAAAGAAAAAGAATGCAATTCTAGCATATAGTACGTGTATCAAAAAAGTATGATAGGTATGTAAACCTTACACTTCACTCTCTTTTCATATAATTATTAGTATCATTTTTTCATCGTCACCTACGTAGATATATGGAAATCATCACAATCTATACATTCTCGTTTGTTTAAAATAATCATAAAACAAAATCTACAATTAAAAAATAGTCATAAGACGTAAAGATACACACGCAGTGATTGGTGAATAAAGAGAGAAAAAAGAGGAAGAGAGAGAGAGAGAAAAAGAAAGAGTGAGAGAGAGAAAGAAAAGAGAGAGAAGAGAAGAATTGTAATGTAAATAAATATTAATATTTTCTTTCTTTTAAGTTACAAAAATATTTCACAGCTTTTAACGCTTTAATCAGCAAAACTTTTTAAACATTTACATTACATATTTTTTTCATTAAAAATTTCTCAAATATAAAAAGAAAGAGAGAAATAAAAATTTTTCATATATATTCATGTTTTCATTTGGCATTTGTGTCGTATAATCGTATAGAACGAATTTTCCTATTAGTTATATCAATACATACACGAATTCATCCTTATAATTATGTATCAAATACCACATTATTCAGAAGCACTAAAACAATTTCCATCCGGTTTTTTTGCTCCATTAACAACTGCTCATAATCCATTTTCAATTGATAATATTTTGGCACCGAGACCACGACTTCCAACACCTTATTATTCGCCCGCCGCTCAAGCTGCAGCTGATTTTTATTGTAAGTATAACTTTTTTATATATTTATGTCTAAGACAAATAGATGAAGTTCTAGAAGAGTGAAAGAGTAACTCGATTAGTTTGATATTTATTTTGAAAAATTAAAATGAATTGTTTCTTCCTAATCGAATTGCATGATTATTGAAATATTTTTTCATAGAATTATCAGACTTTGCGCTTATTAAATAGAATATATTAGAAAAACTTGTTCACCTTTTTAGTAATTAGTAAAAATTCTCATCTTTATATCTGTTTTACTAAGGATATAAACGTTCTTGTTTTTTCTCGAGTATTCATGTGAGGATTGTTGACTAATCATAGTTTCTCAAATCAAATACTTATTGAACATCTTGATAATTGATTCAACATCTCTTTTATATCTGATAATAACGTTTGAAAATTTTATTTAGTTGAACTCTTGTTTTGTCTATATTTCATCAACTTTTCGAAGTGTTCGACCATATTATTATGTTTTAAAGTTGTTTAGTGTATAATATAAGAAGAAAAAAATCTATTTCTTTTATAATTTATTCATTCGTACCTAGTTATGTTTAATTGTTCAGTATAGTATTAAGAGCGTACTGATTCATCTAAACATTGTTTTAGATATATAATGATCACTTCTCTATCAGAGGTGTTTGTAAAAAAGATCACATATAGAACAACAAAAAAATAAGATTTTTTTTTCTTTCTTTTTTTTAAATTTCATGATTCGTCACCTCTTTAGGTTTGACGATAAGCTTACAAACTCTATCTATCTATACATATTATTGTTATCAACATGAATTATCTTTTGTCATGCATAAAGTGTCAAAAAACGTTTTTTACTCGTTCTTTATATGAGAGTCTATAAAACGGGAAATAATCTTTTGCTTGTTTTCCATGCTATTCACATAATTTTAATTTAAGAAGTATATACAACTTTCTATGATTGGTTGATAGTTCTCAATAGAGTGATTTTTGATAATGTTTGTTTATTGCATAAAATATGTGTAGGTAGTATCATCAAAAAAAAGATTGAGGATTGTGATCTTATAGAAACATAATCTTTTAAAATCTATCTAAACAGATTTCTAGCATTTTATATCTCTAAGAAATTTTACTATAGTCAGTCATATTATAATAAATAATTCTCTTCAATCTAACAATATCGACTAGTTATAAACGATTTTCCGCTTATTAGACTTGAACAATACTAGACATAGGAATCAGTCGAATCATATTTGACATATTCATCTATATTAGTAATTATGGAAACGTTTTTATCTTGTTCAAATCAAAATAAACGAATATATTATGTGCTAAATATTTATCAATAAAAAAAAAAAAAATTGTTTCAGCTTTTACCGATAAAGATTTATTTTTTTTGGTTTTTTTCTTCAAGCTATAGAGTATGTGTGAATAATGAAATTTGATTATTATTGTTTATTTATACTTTAGACAGAGAAGACTCATATCAATGATCAAATAGTAACTTACTAATGAAAGTCTAATTAAATGCTTTATTTTAGCGTATCCTGCTGCATTGCAATTGCAAAATTTTTTTGCTGCTGCCACAATAGCTCAAAATCATAAACGAAAACGTCGTCATCGTACAATATTCACTGAAGAACAGTTAGAACAACTTGAAACGGCATTTCAACGAACACATTATCCTGATGTAATGATGAGAGAAGGTATGAGAAATAAAAAAAAAATGTTTATCTTAAACAATTTTAATCATTATTTTCTCTTTTCCTTTTTTTTTTTGTTTTTTAGAACTTGCATTGAAAATTGAATTGAAAGAAGAACGGGTCGAGGTGAGTACTTTAAAATATTCTTGTTCTTACGATTGATTGATGTATTATTATTCTTTGAAAGTTATATACACTAAGCAGCAGCTGTCTTTATACATTATAATATCTTTTCTTTACCTATTGCTCAAAGCCGAATAAACATAATAAAAAAAATGTTTTGATTGTGTGACAATATAAACATATTATTTTAACGATTTATAATGATCGAAGAAATTATTTGATTAACTTACTGCTTATAAATGTTTTTACTAGTACCTTCATAAATAGTGTGTTTACACCATTATAGATGAACGTTTCATTTTCATACACTCCACTAATCGTCATAATAGAGAAAAACAGTCAAGTATCTAAATGGCTAAAATAATTGATCTGTAAATATGACAATGTCTAGTACTCAATGATTGTTTTCAACTTGATCATTTTCTCTTTCTCTCTCTTCACAAGAATTTTTCTCATATAAAGAGCATGTTGTTAGTGTAAGGTTAATTCAGGAGAATAAGTTTATAGCTATTGGGAACATTCAATTGTGTTGTTCGTTTTAGAAGCACTATATTTTGTGTATAAATGGGTTAGTCAATTTTTAAGTGTTTAAGCATTTAACAACAAAGAAAAATTCCATTAGAATTTAGGATATCGATAAAATATTTTTAGCTGTCAGCTTTCGGCAATATTTTATTTGGTTATTGTTCAAATAACATAATAAAGTTTTATCAAAAAAAGTATATTGAAAACACTTTTTGGAGTAAAAAATTTGAAGAGTTAGTTGAATGTTGTTTAACTATTAACTAATACAACTAGACTAAAGTAGAATTATTGAACATCTTATTACTCTCTGTATTAATCTTTTCATAGGTTTCTTTGGAATTTTTTTGTTTATAGAAGGAATTTGTTTTGTTTTCTGAATGGTTCAAAAGTTATATATGAATCGATTGTTGTTATTTTGTGCAATTCCAATATTATTATTTCACATATTAACACTTCGTATATTGTCTTCCATTACATATACTAGTCTATGCATTTTTTAAATCCTCATATTCTCTTTCTTTTTCTTTCTTTCTTTGTTCTTCTTCTTTTACGTATTTATCTCTCTCTTTCTCGTTCAGAAGTGTTCTTCTGTATTTACAGAAGCTATCAAGAAGCTAAAGTCATACCAATTAGACAATATTAATTGCTTTATAAACAAACTACTATATATTCATATTCGGTTAGAACTGATCAAGTATAATAGTCCGATCGAAACAAAGTGCCGGGAAAAGAAAAAGAGATGCTCTAATGCTGTAATAAGTCTTCTCTAAGTAAACAAAGAAAATAAACGAGGATAATAACGCGCTATTTTACTTAGATTCTATTACAAAATCTTGATATAGATGGTTTCAATAGATTATTCCAAACGAGGGTTTTCATTTTCAAAAGAAAGTATAGCTACTTTTTATTCGCTATCTTAAAAGCTTGTTCAAGTGATCAATAATATAGTCTGAAAAGTAAAAAAAAAAAAAAGACCTGGTAAGATACAACCAAATGGCTAGTGAAAAAAAAAATAATAACAAATAAAAACTGTGGTTAAGAGGACTAAGTACATCCTACTTTTTCTTTGTTGTTTTTATTCGATGAAAACTCTTTAATGATTCAAATTTCCTCTTTGATAATAATAAAAACCCCGCTACTTTATGTTTTTATTAGTAATATCGACAGCACTTAACTCATTTTGAACACATCCGTATTATTCGGATACAAATAAGAAGAAAAAAAACTATATCTTTTTGTTTGTTGTTGAAAACTACGTATATTAAGAGCAATCTAAATGATTAATTATTAGGTTGTATATACATCTTCTCAACTGTTCAAAGTATTGGTGGATACAAAAAATGACCATTTCTTATTCTTTTTTCTGTTTGTTTTTTGATTGGTAATCAAGAAATGTTTTATGTAGCTATTTCAAATGTTTTGTCCAATGATGCATACACTAATTTTTCTAATTTTCTATTAAAATATCGTGAAAAAAAATGAGTATTCAATTTGACAGATAGTTGTCACGTAAAAAATGGTGTTGTTTTTTCTTCTTCTTGTATATATACTACCTTCTGCACTTTATTCGTTTCATATTTCCCGCTAATGTATTTTTGTATCGACGTCATAATCAAGAAGACTGATGTCTGCCTTATTAGTCGCAAAATAAAAAACAATTAACATTCATGGTTAAATTCACAATACAAAATAGAGAGAGACCGACTAGCAGTTGCTTACGTTTTTAATTGTACATTGATGTATAATTTTCTTCTTTTTCTATCATCATCACTATAATAACAGTAAATCATTTATCATCGAATAACAAGCAAGAAAATGAAAATGAGGAAGCCAATTGTATTGATACAGATACGGTTTAGCACCTTTTTTCAACATTTTATATGAAACAAGAAAAAAAAAATTCTTTATTTAACTTAATTAATGTTTATGCATCACTGAATATGAAAGGGGCACATATAAACACTTGATAACATACGGGTGTCACTCTTATCTTTTATGGCTGATACCAATATTCAATCTTTAGTTTACTCTTTAAAATCACATACAAATTAAAATAATACAGAGATTTTTATCTGCTCTTGTAAGGCTATATCATCATTTCTAAATATTACAATTAAGTTGTAATCTTTAATTAACTTTGAGTCTAACTTGAAGAGTTAACTCATCATAATACTTTTGTTTATCTTAGGTTTGGTTTAAAAATCGTCGTGCCAAATATCGTAAACAAAAACGTGAAGCTACTGAACGTTCACGACGAGAAGCACAAGAAAAATCTCAACGAACCGATGGTGAAAGTACTGGTACTGGTTCATCTACTCCCACCACATCATCATCATCATTGAGTAGTGGTGGTCATGAAAGTAATGATTTAGTTGTTAATACTCATTTAACAGTTTGTTCAAGTTCACGTTCGACATCATCTCCATTAACATCTCCCATTCAATGTCAACCATTAGCATTAACAACTACTAACACAAATTCATCCACCAATGCTGCTGGTAGTACAACAAGATTAAATAATAATTTAACAAATAAGTCAATCAATTTTAATAAAAAAGAAAGTATACATCAATTAATTCAATACAATCAACCAAGACATCTGCCAACATCGACTGTATCAAATGTTTATTCAAATGTTTCAACGTTGAAATAGAATTATCACAAAAACTTAAGATACTTAAAAAAATTGGTTTATTATTGTCTGTTGTTGTCTGTTTGTATAGTTGTATATTGTTCTATCTATTTTATCTTCTATATGTTTCTTATTCTTCTAATGTGAAATTCGATCATTTACTGCGCTAAAATGTATTCACAAATAAAAGAGTCATTTTGATTTTTTTTTTATTGTATACATTTTAATAGTTTTACTTTAACAGTGACGTATAACCCATGGTTTTTTTTTTTCATGCAATAAAAATATAAAGTTTACTCTAGAATCATACATTTTGTGACGATCACTATCATTCACTACTAATATCAATAAATTAAAATTCTCAATACATTCGGGTTTTTTTTCAAGAAAAACGTCAAAAATCATTTAGGTTATAGGGAAAATAAGAAACATCTAGTATGAAAATACTGTTTTTGTTTAAAGAGGTACCTAATCTATGATACACATATCTAATTGTATCTTAGAAGTGGATCTAATTTATGAGAAAGAGCATCATTTAATCCTATCGTTCATCATTAAAAGAAATAACATTGAACTTGACTTTTATAGAGCCCTGACAAATTGACTTCGTCAATAGATTGATTATATTTAAGAATTTTTCTAGATGATGAGAGGCGATGCCTCGCGATTTGTAACAAAATAGACGGTTAATCACCAATGTTCTTCTTCTCTAGTTGTGCCGATCATCTATATCTATATATGATCATCTTCTTGATGTAACCATGTTCAAAGTGTGTTAATTAAAGACAACCAACCAGGTAGGCTTCTCAATATCTATTGTATGTATAAAATGTTTTTGAAGTTGAAATAAAATGCTTTAAGCCGTAACAGCAGTGATTAAAACAAGCGACATTTTTTCCAGTAAAACAGATGAAATGATTAATTTTTGTTTTGTCCATAATTATGAACCTTAGCAATATCAACAATTATAGAATTGTTTTAGTTATAAATAAGTAACTGTATTCATATGATTGAATTTTTTCAAATATATAAATCATCTATATTTAGTATGAATATGAATAATTTATTCTATTTATTTCTTAGTTTGTTTGATAGATAAAAATAGACGCGTTATGGACAAAATCGGCCTATGTCATTTTACTCGTCTATTTAGTTTAAGAGAGAGAAAAAATGATTAATAATGATTATTATCGTATATTTATCTTAATAATTCATTTAACAAATAGTATTCATCACAAAAAAACGAAAAAGATTTTCCGATAGAAGAAAATATGTAATAAACAACGACCTTTGTGAACTAATGTGAAGTTTATCATTATAAACTATCAAATACAACTTAAATTAAGAAGATAGTAATCTTTATAATTCATGCAATAATCAGAAATTTTAGATAAATAGACATGTTGTATATTATTTACGAAGGTTACATCCATAAAAAACAGTTTTCTAATGAAGAAAGAAACCTCACAGCAGGGTCAAACTATTATATTCCATCTTCTACTGGGCTAAAATAAATTGAAAATTGATCGTTGGTAAATAATTATTATTCCGTTACTCTCAATTCTATTAAATTTATCTAAAAAAATTAAAAAAAATAGTAGAATCAATTTTCAATACAACTTTTTATATCGTTTTTTTTTTTGTCTTTTTTATAATCGGATCTTTTCACAGTTAGTTGAGCAGTTAAATTCTCTTTTTATCCGTTTAAATATGTACAACTATATGAGAAAAATGAATTCGGCATTATTTGATAAGAGTATGTTTATTCATCAGCTTTTGGAGTAAGTGAAATCAACTCATTTTTGAAGAGTTAATTGAGATAACTGATGCGTCAACAATATATAGTATGAGAAACAAAAGAGTTTCTCTTTAAGAGCCTACACTTCTTTAAATGTAAACGCAAAACGAAACCATTGAAATGAAAAAAACACAGTTGTACGTTTGCACTTGTATTTTTTTAAATAGAAAATAATGAATATTTTTCAGAGATTTATTATAACAGACAAAAAGCTAATAGGATTATTAGAACACTAATATGTGATATTTTCGGAACATCTTTCAAGCAAGCTTAGGAGTTAAACATTCTTTCTCATAACAATATTTCATATATGCCAAAAAGAGTCGACATTATGATTTAGACAAATTTTCATTACTCAGACGTATAACGATTCAATATCTAGAGACTTTTTGTCTTTTAAAATCAGAATAGATCAGAATAATACACTAATCTTATGTATCACTGTTTTTGTTAGATGAACTATTCACATTCTGCCTATCTCCACTACTACAGAGTACTGATAAACTTAACAATCTATGATAGAATGAATACTTTTTAAGATAGTAATCTAAACGAAAAACAAAACTATATTCCTAAAATTTTTTGAAAATTTTGTCTTATATAAGCGGTTTTATTAAAAAACCCATAGACATTATTATACCCAAAGCGACAAAAGCCATTGCAGGGGTGCGCAAACACTTTCGTTGTTACATACCAAAGAACCAAAGAAAGGTATAAAAAAAAAGAAAATAGAACAGGGTAAAGATGAGTAAGAAAAAAAATCCAATTTTTGAAGATGCTGACACAGAGTAACTATTAAAGTAATGACCAAAGGAACAGCAGTAGAGACCTGCACGGGTTAAGAAAACGTAACCCGAACCCGACCCGATAAATTTTTACCCTTTTGTTTTGTTCTTAAGTTTATGTCTTTTTATTTATCTATTTGTTTAGCGGAGGGCATCATATTACAGGCGAGTGACCTTTTGCTAATAGTCTGCGAATATTCCAGAAAATTTGAGCATTATATCTTTCTAAATTCGCCTGTTACTGAACTGTGCTTCTTAAATGAGAATAATGTTTTCCTAAAATCAGAGAACATCCTAAAAGAGGCCAGGGCAACTCTATCGTTTTTCCTTTGAGATAATTAATTGTCACATCATATCCTACATAGTGAACATATACTGTAGTGCTTGATGCGATGAAAACTAAAGCAGAAGGTTTGATAGGTGAATGAACTAGCTGATATGACAATATGAATAATATCCTGTAGAAGCACATTATCTTTCTGAAAAAAAGTCGACTCCCCAGTCTTCCCGCAGGCGTTCTCTAGTTTTCCTTTGTCTCACAAACGGGAAAGCACGCACGTGACAAAACTAATTATCTTCTTTGTTTTATTCCCGTACCAGAATGTTTTCAGCAGCAAAATAATGCACGCAATATCACTTCTAATAAAAAAGAAATGTTATCATTGAAAATTGTGCGGTTTGGAAAAACACTGTTTTCCTTCAAGAAGAAAAGTTCGATAACAAGCGAATTTAGAAAGATATAACGCTTTTCTGTAACATTAGCAGACTACTAGCAAAAGTACAAAAGAAAATTTCATCTCTTAATTCTTTGTTTTGACTGGGTTACAGAATTATTACTGTTGCTACACACAGTATTCCTTTAGAACAAAGAAATTTATAACTTTTGAAAGAATTGATATGAGTCCTCCTTTAAGAGTTTTTATCAGCTCACTTTCCTCTATTAACTGACATAATATCATTAAAAACGGAGTTGGGCATCTGAAAACCTTGCCTCGTTAGTGAATGCAGTTGCTCTGAAATAAGTATTTCAACTGAAAATTCCAGTCGAGTTAACTTTACAACGAGTAATACACAATTGAAATTATTATCTATATTTTAATTGCGCTACAGTGTTCACCCGGACCCAGCCCGATAACATCTTAACCCGAACCGACCCTCATTAACTATGTTATTATGAAATAGCGCTGGTGTTACGAACATATTAAAAAAAATATATATATACCATAAAGGAGCAGTCTTTAGTACTCTCCTGTTTGTTTGCAAAAGATCTTTCATTTTGCGTTGAACGTTGCCTAATGTAGAAGAAAGCCTGGGCTATCAAATGAGACCGCTCTCAGCTCTCCATAATCTTCCTTGAAAAAGAGATGAAGTTTTTAATTTTTTCTTCAAAGCCTAGAAAATCTCAATTTTCAGTTTCGTAAATTTTCAGCTCCTTTCCTATATATTCAAAATTTTTTCTCATAGATAGACCAATAGAAGAAAGTGTGCTCTTCAATATGAGACGTCTTCCAGAAATTTTCGGTAACTTTTCGTGAGGATATAAGCATCACCTCAAATGGCCTGAAAAACAGAGCCGTGTGTACAAAATGTGTTTTACTCACTATGCATTTTTTTGATTAGAGACCTGCAACCCGACCCGACCCTAGGGTCGAGTCGGGTTCGGGTTAAGATGCTGTCGGGTCGAGTTGGGTTCGGGTTAAGATGTTCTCGGGTCGGGTTCGGGTTGAATATTTGGCAACGCAATTTAAAATATAAATAATATGTTTAGCTTTGTATTACTGGTTGAAAGTTATCTCTGCTGGAATTTCCAGTTGAAAGACTTGTTTCAGAACAACTGCATTCACTAAGTCGATTAATCATTGCTTTCTTTGCACATAAGAGAGTGCTTCCTGCACTGAAATTAATGGCAATACATCCATCCCTTACTGCTTTTTTTCATGTACTGTTTTAAACATCCGCACATAGAAGACTTTACTATAATGCTCTCTACTTGCTATCTTAGTATTAGGTGATACTGACTGACCAATGAGAAAAAGGATGTGGTCATCATCTCGGTTAAGATAATCTATTGACAAAGTGTACT